CAACTTATGAGAAACACCAGGAATAACTGTTGATCATCCCCAGACCCCAAAATAAAAGATAGCACAGTGGTAGGGTGTTTGCCTTGCACGAGCCAATATGGCCAACCCGAGTTCAATTCCTCCGCCCCTCTCGGATAGCCAGACAAGCTACTGAGAGTATCTCGCCCGCACAGCAGAAGGCAAGCTCCCCATGACGTATTCGATCTACCAAACACAGTAACAACAAAGTCTCCAATGGAGACATTACTGGGCCCGCTCGAGCAAATCGATGATCAACGGGAGGGCCTTTACCTTACCTTATTCAAAAAAACATGGCAATGATCCAAAGGCAAAGATAAGCAGATAAGCATGGTGTCATATTGACAGAGAGGGGTCCAAAAAGGGTACCCGGCCCTGTAGGTGTACAGTCAGCCTGGTTATTCAGCTGGGGGGGACCAGGGTCTTGAAACTCATGGACTATTCGACATACCTGACAGACGAGGAAGAATGACAAGAAAGTCAAGAAAGCAAAGCACAGGATCTCTCCATAACGAACAGCTCCGGGGAGTGAAGGGCAGCGTGAGTGCAGTACAGACGCCTGATCCAGTGGCTCGAGGACACAGTAGCATGTTTCACACACACTCAGGGCATGCACACACTGCCCAGGGACCCAGCCAGGAAGGGTCCTCAGACACTCACCTGCACACACCTCACCTCCCCGGCTTTAGGGCGCCTATTCCAGCCTAGAGATTAACGCAGGCTTCACCCCAGAAGGCCCTGCTCCACAGAGACAGAGGACTGGATTAGTCACAAGGAAGGAAAAGGCGACAAGTAAACCTCGTGTGTCCCTGGTCTAACTGGTCATACTATTGAAAAGGCATGATCCACTTTCAATATGCCAAAGATTGGTGGGGAGTGAGGAATAAGACAAGATTTAAACTTAAGAGTGAAATAAGGGAGTCCCAGATAATACCACTAAGCTACCAGCACTGTATGCAGTTTTGTTTTGGGTTACAGTTGGCGATGCTCAAGGGTTAATCCTGTATCCGCGCTCAGGAATCATCTCTGGTAGTATTGGCTCCATGGAAGGTCAGTGATTGAACCTGGTTTGCTTTACGTAAGGAAGCGCCCTCCCCACAGTGCTTTTGTAACATCTGTAATTCCCTGAATTTCTCTTTTACCTTTACTTTGAGCTTACAATTCCCCAAGTGAGGTTTGATGACTTAGGTGAATCTGAACTTTGTATTTGAAGTGAATACTTCCTATTCTATATTCCCATTAGCCCTTTTATACTCTACTATAGAGCAATGTTCTTTGCTTAACCACAGATAGACTATTAATGATAGGCTCCTAATATTTGGCCCATATCCTGAAATACATCTACTCCTGGCACCTGTCATATTTACTTGATTCAAGCTTCAGTTGCCATACTTCCTAACACTCCAAAAAGGAAGGCCCCATTGGGCTGAGATGGATCTGGGGAAAATAGCAAAACTACCCTGGAATCGAAATGGAATAGTCTAGAAAGCATGAAAGAACAGTCTTGATATTAGCTGTTATGACTTAAGAGACAGGACCTCATGAAGGACAAGCTGTACTGGCCTGAAGACCTAGTATGGGATTTATGGTAGAATCCCAGACACCTTGCCCTCAGAGTCCAGAGAACTAAATTTTGGAATCTATATTTCTTACTATTTTTATCCACATTTGCTCGAGCGGGCCCAGTAACATCTCCATTGGAGACTTTTGTTGTTACTGTGTCTGCTAGCGGTAGGGCGTTTGCCTTACACACGGCCAACATGGCCGACCCGAGTTCGATTCCTCCGCCCCTCTCGGAGAGCCCGGCAAGCTACCAAGAGTATTCGATATGCCAGACACAGTAACAACAAAGTCTCCAATGGAGACGTTACTGGGCCCGCTCGAGCAAATCGACGATCAACGGGAGGGCCTTTACCTTACCTTTATCCACATATCTGCAATTATTAATAAGAAGTAAATTTAGTTGTTTAATATTTTCTAGTAGATAGAGAAAGAGGAAAGCAATATAATGCTGTTGACCCTGGGAGAATCTCTCTGTATAGCCACTGGGAGACAGTGTCTCCTTGAATTCTCCAGAATTGTCTCCATCAAAACCCTTTACCTCTGTAGGGGCTGGAGCCATAGCACAGCAGAAAGGGCATTTGCCTTGCACGCAAATGATGAGGGTTCTTTTCCCAGCATCCCATATGGTTCCTCGATCACATCCAGGAGTAAATTCCTTAGTGCAGAGCAAGGAGTTACCCCTGTTAATGGCCAGGCATGACCCAAAAAGCAAAAACAAACAAAAATGCTTTACCTCTGTAAATGATCAGTCACCCCTATGTGTAGTCCTATAGCTCAACAACCTTCAATGCTCTGTAGTTATGCTAAAAGCTTCACATTAAACAAGCCATTCTGACCATCAGTCAGTGGTCCTCCATATCTTTGCTCCTCTTCTGACTCCAGCATAACATCCCTTTAGAGATTCCTCTGAGAGGCAATCAGGTATGTTCATCCCTCTGGGGTGAAACTCACTGCGATGTTGACAGAGGTAACCGCATTTCGAACCAGCACACACTAGGGTAGGAGGAGGCCATCCCACTCCACACAATGGGCCTGAGGATGAGACACTGCCGCACCCTAGGGGTTCTCAGGGATCTCCCTTCTCCCCACTCCACAAGGGAGGAACCGGCCTCCACCAACACTTCAGGGTGACAGGCCCCAGTACTCACTGGATGGAATCCTGATCTACCACAATGGAACTATATTAGAAGCTGATGGACGTGCACGCAGCCACCCCAGAGACAAACCCAATGAACAATGCTCCTGTGAGTAACACCTAAGCACTGACCAAGCAGGACCAAAAGAAAGCAACACTGGGTTGGACCGAAAACTCTAGACACTCCTCCCCCACGCCATATCGTCACATCAACTGTTCTAGGGGTGAGAAGGGGACACTCAATGTCCAATGAGCAACTCAAAGGTGTTGTGGAGTGGAGGACTCCTGGGTTGGCCACAGCAAGCAAGTACCCTACTTGCTGTACTACTGCTCTGGCCATTTCCAAATAATTTTTTTCCCAGAACACCAGCAGTGACCCCTGAGCAAAACTCCCCTTCCCCATACTCAAATATCTCCCTTTCAGGAAAAGATAAAACAAGTATACTGATGTAGCCACTCCAAAGAGCCAGTTTTCCTGATGTTCTGGTCAGGGAGAGATGAAGAGAAAGGGATTGTTTGCAATTGGATATGTGGAAGTAGAAAAGATTATTTGCAGGAGTATTGTTGTTTATTCGGCTATTGATTAGGCTGACTGAAATGGGCATGAACTCCACCGTACTTTTCCCCCTTTTTTTGATAATTTTATTTTGTAAATCGCCCTGAGTGAAGTTACAAAGCTTTTGGGTTTAAGTCTCGTTCATACAATGAAGCACCAGTCCCTTTACCGTGCCCATTTTCCGCCACCAAAACCCCAAGTATACCCCAATTCTACACCCTCCCCCTAACTGTGGGGACAGATGATTTCTACATTTCTCTGTACTTTGATTACATTCAATATTTTGACACCAGACCCACCATTATTATATTTGGGATTTAACCCCAGCACTCAGATAGTTCAAAAAGGCAACAGTAGACAATTTGTTTTCTATTGCTGGTTATAAACAACATGATTTTGTAATTTTGAAATTTTAATAATATGGAGGGATTTCTTCCAAGACCTGCTGAGTTCCAGATTTTCTCCTGACTCTCTGGGATCATGGCCATTAAGCAGCTTTATCAGGAGCCAGAGAGGCAGTTCGTGGGCATGACCTAAGCTATTGTTGGGTCGTGGAGGAAAGGGCCACCTCCACCCCCATCCCCCCATCCTGTGAAGCTCCACATATCTCATCACTGCGGGCCCAAACGTGACATTCCAATGGCCTCTGGAGGATGGTGGCCAGCGAGCCGCCAAGGGGGAGCAGGTGGAGGGAAAGTACCACTTCCCTCTGGGGTGGCCCGGGGTTAGTAACCTACTGCAGGGTCCAGACTCATTTCTGCCAAGAGCCGCTGGGTTTTGAGATTTGTCTCTGAATCTTTGGGATCATAGCCATTAAGCAGCAGTGATAGCAGAGCGGGTAGGAGGTTTGCCTTGCATGCAAAAAAACCGGGTTCAAATCCTGTAAACAATACGTTCCCCTGAGCACAGCCAGGAGTAATTCCTGAGTGCATAAGCCAGGAGTAACCCCATGTGCATCGCTGGTTGTAACTCAAAAAGCAGAAAACAAAATAAATAAATAATACAAACAGTAAATTTTCAGAGGCAAAACCCTCTCACTTGTGCAGACAAACCCCAAAGTCCCAACCCCAGCACAGGAGCCAATAAAAATGACGGACCAGAAAAGTGTCCCTTTCCTTTTGGGGCTTCCCGTGAACATATCTGGAGGTTTGATAAGTGTTATCTCCAGTCCAAAGGCTCCAAAAAGGGCCCTGCGCAGTCCCGAGTAGGGAGGTATGAGATTGCCAAGACCACCACTCTCTGCAGGTCCCTCACACCAAGGCCCAAAGTTCATATGCCATCTTGGACCTGGATGTGATCTTGGCTGCAGGGACCCTCAGCATAATGCACCCTCACCCATGACACCTTCGCCACAGAACAGCCCCCAATGCAACCCTCAAAAGCTCCACATTCCCTAATACCTAGATATGCAGAACAAGTTTTGAAAAAACAACACAAAAATGCCCTACAAGCTGGCGTGTCCTTCCGCTCAAGTTCCCAAACTAGGAGCTGCAGGGTGCTCAAGCGTTTTTCTACAGCGTGAATGCGCCTATGTTCAATAAGTCTGAGGCTCCAGCAAAGGCCTTTCCACATTCCTTACATATATATGGTTTCTATCCAATGTGAATTTTCCTATATACATTAATTATTGAGGTCACAGCAAAGGCCTTCCCACATTCCTTACATATAAAGTTTCTCTTCAGTGTGAATTCTCCTATGTACAGTAAGTTTCGAGGCTCCAGCAAAGGCCTTTCCACATTCCTTACATATATATGGTTTCTCTCCAGTGTGAATTCTCCTATGTTCATTAAGTCTTGAAGCTTTAGCAAAGGCCTTCCCACATTCCTTACATATATACGGTTTCTCTCCAGTGTGAATTCTCCTATGATCACTAAGTCTTGAGGCTTTAGCAAAGGCCTTTCCACATTCCTTACATATATACGGTTCCTCTCCAGTGTGAATTCTCCTATGTACAGTAAGTCTTGAGGCTTCAGAAAACGCCTTCCCACATTCCTTACATATATACGGTTTCTCTCCAGTGTGAATTCTCCTATGTACAGTAAGTCTTGAGGATATAGCAAAGGCCTTCCCACATTCCTTACATATATATGGTTTCTCTCCAGTGTGAATTTTCCTATGTTCACTAAGTCTTGAGGCTTTAGCAAAGGCCTTCCCACATTCCTTACATATAAACGGTTTCTCTCCAGTGTGAATTCTCCTATGTACAGTCAATTGTGAGGATGTAGTAAAGGCCTTTTCACACTGCACACATATATACGGTTTCTCTCCAGTGTGAATTCTCCTATGTATAGTCAATTGTGAGGATGTAGTAAAGGCCTTTTCACACTGCACACATATATAAAGCTTCTGTCCAGTGTGAATTCTCCTATGTACTGTAAATATTGAGGCTTTAGCAAAGGCCTTTCCACATTCCTTACATATATACGGTTTCTCTCCCGTGTGAATTCTCCTATGTACAGTAAGTTTTGAGGCTCCAGCAAAGGCCTTTCCACACTCCTGACATATATAAGTCTTCTTTCCACTATGCGTATTCTTATGTCTATAAAGAGACAAGGTGTGAATAAAGGCCTTCCCACATGTCTGACATTTATGAGGTTTCTCTCCACTATGAATATCCATATGTCTATTAAGATCTGAGGGCTGATTAAAGGCCTTCCCACATGTCTGACATATATAAGGCTTCTCTCCACTATGCGTTTTCATATGTCTATTAAGATCTGAGGGCTGAATAAAGGCCTTCCCACATGTCTGACATTTATGAGATTTCTCTTCTGTATGAATTCTCCTATGTCTAAAAAGATGTGATGATTGATTGAAGGCCTTCCCACATGCTTCACACGCATAAGGTTTCACTCCTGAATTTATATTCATATGGTTATGATGGAGTAACCCTTGACTCACACTTAGTTCTCGGTGCTCACTTTTCCGGGGATGCTGTCCACTGTAGTTTTCTAACGGAATTCCACAGTGCTGAGAACATGGGGAGGCTCCGCCACATTCCTTACACTTAGATGGGTTCTGTTCACAGTGACTGTGATTGAGAGTTTGTCGCTGTGAGGGACTCACTATAAACAGTGCTTCTTTCCCTAGTGGTTGCCAGACTGGGGGGTTTTGTGACTGTGAACTGAGAACACCACACTCCAAGGAACTTTTTCCAAGGGAGGGCTTCTTCAAAGTGAGGTAGCTCTCGCCATTCTGATCACCCTCAGAAGACACCCCACACGTCTTGGCGTCCTCATGGGGTTGAATGCAGGATTGCTCACTAGAGATATTGTCATAGAGTGCAGAATCAGAGATATTCCACTTGGGTTGGCTGCTTCCCTGTAGGAAGAGCAGAGAAGGAGTCCAATTATTAACTTATTCACCGAGTCTTCCTGTCAAAAAACTGAGCCTTCAGATGTGGTTTCTTTTTTTGGGGGGTCACACCTGGTGATGCACAGGGGTTACTCCTGGCTCTGCACTAAGGAGTTACTCCTGGCGGTGTTCAGGGGACCATATGGGATGCAGGGAATCGAACCCGGGTTGGCCACGTGCAAGGCAAATGCCCTGCCCGCTGTGCTATTGCTCCAGCCCCAGGTGAGGTTTCTAACATATGCACCACACAAATGTAACTACCTACGTAAGGATTGTCTTATTATAGAATAACTTCGTGTAAATGTAAGTTCGACGCACAAAATTGATGGAAGCAGATTCATAAAATTCTGTGACTTCCCCCCACCGTTAACTTAATGAAGGAATACAACTTGAAATAATTCCTTCTATAGAAAACTGATGCATCCATTTCAAGAGAAAATGAGATACAACCACAGTGGATTTGATTAAAGCTCAGAGTGAAACCTGTGATGACGGGGTGAAGACAACGCTGCATCCTCACACAGCTGAGATAGACCACGTGGCTATTGCAAAGCTCTCACCACAAGTGATTGCTTTCAGCATCAACAAAGTTTTTTGTTCTTAATGTTTTGTAGTTTCTATTTATTGGGGGTTGGGTGGGGCACACCATGCAGTATCTAGGATCAGTTCTGTGGGTCTACGGTGTCTATAAGGAGTGCTGGGTAAGGACCATCCATCCCTGTGCAAAGCAAGTATATTTCTCACTGCACTATCTCCATGGCCCACAAATTAGCTTTTTAAACGACTATAACTGTCAAGCAAATGAAAACTCACAGCATTTTTATACATGGTTGATTTCAGCACCTAGTAAAGCTAAGGGTCCTCTACCCCAAGCATCAGGCTTTGGAATTCCTCCCTGCCATTCATAGCCCTCCACCCTAACAATCACATATTTGGTCCACTCCCGCTGGCATAATAATTTATTCTGAATTAAAAATCTTACCAACTCACTCATACTTGCGGACCCCATTCCCAAATCAAAGTGCTGTAATGCCAAATCTTGAATCCGTGGTTTCAGCTCTGAAACTGAACACAACATGCAGTTAAAGCAATTGTCAAAAATGTAGCAAAATGATGCCATGTAGTTGGAGTACATCTCTGTGGTATTCAAAGTCCATAAAATCCTACACTAAAGAAAAGATTAGGTTAGTGGAAAATGGTAAGGATCTTTGCAATTCTACACTAGGTTTTGTTTTTGTTTTTGAGCAGACCTGGTGATGTTCAGGGAACCAGGTTATTGAACAGGTCACTTTCAGGCACTGCAAGGCACTCCCTGCTGCACTATCGTTCAGATCCAAACTAGCTCTGTTATGGTCTTACTTATTCGAAAGCCATGGAAGCAACTTACAGAGTCATTCTGGACAGACATACGATGGGAATGAAGAGGAGTGTGAGTGTGGCACAGAGCCATGGATCCAGGAGCCCAAGGCCCCAGCCTCAGCAGCGTGTTTCATACATGCTCAGGGCACCCATACACTGCACAGGGCCTGAGCCAGGAAGGGTCCTCAGACACTCACCTAAACACAAGTCTCTCCTCCCTGACCTCAGGGCTCCTCCTTCCAGCCAGGAGATCACCGCAGGCTTCATCCCAGTGTGCCCTGCCACAACAGAGACAGAGGCAGGGATAAGTGACAAGGAAAAGGTGACAGGTAAATCGCCGTGTTTCCTGATATAATGGGGCAAATTAATGAAAGACATGAACACAATGTCCATTTCCAAAATGCCACATATTTCTAGTTATTTGAGAGGTAAGACCCAAGAAAATACCACAAATACAATAGACCAGGCCTTGTGTATGGCCAACAGGGTGTTGGTCAGCACAGTATGTTGTTGGTTTTTGTCTTGTTTGGGGTCTAACCTGGCAATGTTCAGGGACAACTCCGGACTCTGTATTCTGAAATCAGCACTGCTGGTGCTCGGGGATGACACGGGATGCCGAGGATTTAACCCAGGTGCATTGCTTGCAAGAAAATCACTTTCCTAACCATACTGTCTGTCTAGGCCTAACACCACATGGAGTTTCCTGAGCCCCTCATGAACTCATCAAGAATTTCAGTAAAACTAAGTTCTTAATAAATCTGGAAATGGCCAAAGGTGGCAAGAGACCCTTATTTTTTTAAGCTAAAAATGTATCCAGAAAGAGAGCACAGCAGGAGTTTCTCACAGCCAATCCAGTTGCAATACTCGACATCCCCTAGGGTCCCTCACGCCAGCCAGGAGTGATCCCTGAGTGCAGAGTCCAGGAGCAAAGCCTGAGTCCTGCTGAAGTCTCACAAGAACCATTAGAAGTATCTCCAAGCACTGAAATACGGCAGTGTCTGATGAGTTGAGAGAAGAGATATCAAAGCCCCAGTGGTGGGAGAGATAGTACAGCACATAGGACAGAAGTGCTGCACACACATGTGGGTTTGATCACAGGCAGCCCATAAAGTCTTGGAGCAAGGCCAGGTGTAGATCCTGAATACACAGGCAGGAATAATCCCTAATCACATTCACAATCACAATCACAACCATCCTGTTATTCGTCGATTGCCTCGAGCAGGCCCCAGTAATGTCTCCTTCGTCCTAGCCCTGAGATTTAAAAAAAAGTCCCATATTCAAGGCTCTTTCAGAGTTAGGAGAATGAGACCCTTCATTATTATTGGTATTTGGCATATTGGGTACTCTACGGGGAGTTTGCCAGACTCTGCCATGTGGGCAGGTTACATTCGGTAGCCTGCCAGTTTGTCCAAAGTAGGAATGAGAAGATAAGATGTCGTAAAGGGTGTGATAATCTCTGGATTCTGGCCGTTATGTTATTTTATTATTATTACATAATAATAATTATTGTTACTATTATTATAATTACTATAATAATTACTATCATTATTATTACTATTATGTGAATGTAATAAAGAAAAGAATCAGGCCGTAATCCTGATTCTTTTTTCGTAATACCTAAGGAAAAAAGAGGAAGCAAAAACCGTCTGATTTGAGTGCCTGGTGCAAAAGTATTGGGAGTCATGCACCAATGTTTTAAATTGCCAAGAGGTTTCAGTCCATGGTATCCCGGTTTCTGAGCACTCTTAGGAGTCATCGTTTAGCACAGAGCCAGGAGAACTGTGGACTGTGTTCCCTAAACAAAGGCAACAGCAAAGCCAATTAAACACACGGAAGTTTGTGTAGTACACAAAGCAAATTGATTCACCAATGGATGGAACTATTTAAAGGGACCTGAGCGATAACTGGGCAGATAGGGATCTTCCCACGGACACAGTCGAAACGGGTTGATCTGAATCACCCCACAGGGTCCTGCTACTCCACAAGACTGATACCTAAGGACAGAGCTGAGAGTAAGCCCTGAGTATCCACAGGTGAACCCTAAAAAAACCAGGGAGGGAACAAACACCTCATGGCTGTTCAACATACCAGCCCGTCAGTCACAGCTACTGTTGGACACACAGCTGCGGCCCAAACCCAGGGAGCCCAAGCAGGTCTGTCCAGACAGGGTTGGCTCCACACTGCTCTCACCTACAGCCTGCAGATGCTGGTAGGTCTCCAGCATCACGTCCCTGTAGAGCTTCTGCTGAGAGGCCGCCAGGCATGACCATTCCTCCGGGGTGAAGTTCACAGCCACGTCGTGGAAGGTCACTGCGTCCTGAGTCAGCACACAGGGAGGGTGGCAGTTAGAGTCTACCTTAGTCTCATTCCCACTACTGTGAGGCCAGGACCCAGGGTCCTATATTGTCGCTAGTCCTCTCCCCTTCGAATGAACCAGCCTCCATGCAGATGCATGGCTGATGGGCCCCAGAAATCACATAAGGCAGCTGGATCTGTGAAAGTGGGAGGATGTTATACAGAAAGTTCTTGGATATATATGCCTTTCCTGGTAACCCAAGGTCCAATTCGAGCACCACTGGTCCAGTGAGCACTGTAGAGAGGATCACCTGACCGCAGACTTGCACGATCCAAAAGACCATCCCTGGGTGCAGCATAAACGACTGCACGCTCACCGCTGCACCCCCACAGCTCATGACTACTAGGACTAAGAACTACAGTCCTTATAGACAACTACTCAGAGTAGTGCATGGCATGTGTGCCTGTAAGAACACACTGCTCAAGACCGCCCCAAATCCCTTGCAAAGAAGGAGAAGGTTCTTCACCCCAACATCTCTACTGGCCTCAGAGATCCTTGGCTCTTTCTCCTTGCGATCAGCGCATGCCCAGAAATCCACACATAACTTTATGTGAATATAAGACTCTATGACTGAGAAGGCAAGGCTCTCCAGAGCAGGAAGGACAAAACAGGGGGAAAA